GCCTGGTAAGTGGCAGTCTGGCATTCCCCCCTCCAAAAAAAAAAAAAAAAAAAAATTGGCAAAACAGTAATGGAATCTTACCTCTTCCATTATTGTAAGTTGACTCACTTTCCAATGTTACATTATATATCCAATTCCCCTATCCTGTATTGTGTACCAATTTAGTACTAGATAAAACCCACTACAAATTTTCTTTCTGGAGTATTTTTAAAAACCTGGTCACATAGCATGTATAGGTCCAACATTTATTTTTAAAAATCCAAGATACCAACTTTTTAAATACAGTACTAAAGGCCCCTCCTCACCACACACCATATGGTTGGCAGACTTTACCTTATTTTTTCATGGTACACTGGTTAGAAGTAGTCCTTAAATGTTGCGATCTTAATTAAATCAAATATCGATTTTTTTTTTATCATCCAACTTCGTGGAACTGACCCCTGAAAGTGTTAATATACTTCCTTATTTGCCCTACATTCCCAAGAAATAATTTAGACATAAAATAAAATCTCCTTTGCTTATTACGTAACCATAACCTTAATATTTTAAAATGGCATACCTAATTCTATGTTTTTACTAGGATTCTCCTTCGGTGATTACCAATCCCCCACAAACCACTCCAAACACTAAAAAATAAAGAATGGAGTTCCTAGGGAACTGACTTTTTAAGGCCAAACTTCCCTTGGGGCAGAAAGCACCGAAAACCATTGTGAGGGAAAAAAAATTTTTTTTTTGAGGAAAAATTTTAAGTCTTTTTCCCAAAGGGCACGCAAAATCCTAAAAACAAGTGCCCGGACAGGGACTGAGATTCCCCCCAATAGGCGACACCACAGCACTCTGCTAGGGTCCTGACGAGGAACGTTCACTTCCCGCGGCCGCACGGCTCGAGCCAGATCACTGGTCTCCCGAGAGGCTCGGAGACCGGCGCCGGGATCGGAGTGGGACTCAGACCTGCACAACTCGCGAGTTTCCGCACTGCTCCACGCGTCTTCAGCTCCGCCGAGCCCCAGGCGCTCGCCGGGCCGTGATCACGCACGGACCAGGCGGAGCGGTTTTCCCGAGACACCAGAGGGAGGAGCCAGGAGGTTGCTAGGGTATTTTCTGGGGCCGGGCGCACCGCAGGCGGGGAGGCGAAGGTAACGGGCGGTGTGAGAGCGGGGCGGGTTTAGACGGGAAGTCCCGCCTCAGCCGCTCACTCAGCGGGCGGTGGCGCGCTTCTCCTCAGACACTTGGGCGGGCAGCCGGGCTGGGATGTTGAGGCCCGGCTTCACACCCCCACCCCTTCGCCGGTTCTTTCCCGAGTGTAGGCGGTAGCAAATAACTGGGACGCGGTTCGAAATGTACTCTTAAGGCGTAATTGCAGTGAGTTTTGAGGAAATGCTGATCCTACAGAACACTTTCCATTTTACCAATCGCAAAGGTATTTTAGTCATGAGAACTTGGTTCTATGATTTTTTTGTGGCTATATCAAAATAAGTATTTTGTACTCTGTATAGTAATGAAAGCTGTTAGAAAAATCGTTTTTATCTTGTATCTTGATGGTTTGGTTTGTGTAAAAACACGCATATAGCGTTGTGACTACTTTGTGCAGTTTTTCCAGTTTGAAATTAAGCATAATACATGGGTACGTTATATTAAAGCACTTATCCATGCCTCACGCCAGAGAAAACCAAACTGAGGTAGTGCACATTATCAGTTGTAAGATTTAGAAACACAATGGCCAAATGTTGAGCAATGTATTTATTGGGTACTGTGAATTTATCAAGTGGGGGATAAAGGATAGAACTTTGCCTTAGAAATGTTTATGATATCAAGTAATGTATAGGTAGTATATAAAATGCAATATTCTTACTACTGAGAAAAATGCAACATGACTAAAAAATTATAGGAATTTCAAAGAGCTCAGAATGGAGTGGTCAGTGAGGTTTATCGGTTGAACTTGGGTAATCACTGAAGAGTTATTATGGTTTAGAGCAGTGTTTTTAAACTGGAAAGAGGATTGTGTAGGACCCATTGTAAGAAAGGAAATCTCTTTACACTTTTTAAAAATTGAAATAATATAGAGAAATAGTGCATTTAAGTAAATTTAGTGTTAGTAAAGTTAAGTATTGTTTTATGGAGCTCTTAATTACATATGTGTATGAATGTGTGCACTAGGCCTTGTTTGTAAAATGTATTTCTTACTGTCTAAAAAGTTTGAAAGCACTGATTTAGAGAGAAAGATGAGTTTTCTGGGTAGGGAAGGCAGCAATGGCAAAGTTCTTAAGCCAGGAATAATAATTCACAATAACTCTAAGTTTTAGCAAAGTAGTTCAATTGCACAGATTAAAAAGCAAATGAGATTATTTATTAGGTTGAGGATTGGGTTACCATTGCGATGTAATAAATTACTCCAAAATATGCTAGCTTGAAACAAAAATTTTATTATGTTCAAAAATTGTATGGTCAGGAGGACACAGTGGATCAGCTTTTCTCTGGTAACTCAAGTGGAAAGGCTAGGCATGCTGGCAGAGCTTTAATTTACAGCTCTCCTTGTGGTCTGAGCTTCTTCTGTATGGCAGGAAGGTAGTAGAAATTGTTAGCTTAGGCTCAAGGATCCAAAGGGAATGTTGCAATGCAGAAGGTAGAAACTGCATGTCCTCTTCTGACCTTGCCTCAAAAAGTAACACAATGTCACTTGCCTCATACTCTTTTGCTTACAAGTGAGTTACAAAGCCTGACCCAATTTTAGGGAAGGGAATATCAATCCCTCTTCTGAAAGGATTAGCAAAGAATTTCTGGCCATTTTTAAAAGCTAACATACTAAATTTTTTGCTATAACATAATAGAAAACCCCAAATATTGATAGTTTAATACAATTAATGCTTATTTCTTATAAAAGATCCATTATGTATGTTACTAGTCAGATGAAATGTTAAACTTGAAGGTCAGATGTTTCCTTTTATTTTTAATGGCTATGCTGCCTCCTGAAACTTGGGGCCCATAGCTTGTGTGACAAGAAAGAAAGAAAATATGGTGAATCACACAAGAAGTTGTAGAGGTCAGCCCTAAAAATGGCAAATATAAATTCTGCCACATTCCATTGGCCATAATTTAGTGCCAAGGCCCCCATATTAAAATGTAAGGGAGCCTGGGAAATGTGGAGGAACACACACATATTGATAAATCATTTACAGTTTGCCCACATTCTAGGTTTTTAACCAAAATCCTTTGGTCCCCAACTGCTCCACTCTATTCTCAATTCTTCTCTCTAAGGAAAATTCTTTCATGTCTTTTTAATATTTCTTCTGTTATTTACTCCTTATGTCTAGTATACTTACATTGCAATTTCTTGATTTTTCTATTTAAGATGTTATCCATTGACTTTTTCCTATGGAAGACAATAATGTAGTTCTTTTATAACATCACCCCAAGCATGTGAACATTCCCTCTCTTCCTATCCCATTTATTCTTCTTTTCCCTTCATCTTTCAATAGCGTGATATCATAGTTTTGGTTAAACCAACATTTAGTGTTATCACTACTATGCTAGATAGTGTAGTTTATTATATCTCAAACAAGAAGCAGTACAGTTAATCAAGGTATGAGCCTAAACTATTGACACAGTTTTGCCATCTTAACGGTAGCTTGTTTACGCCAGCAGCAAAGAAGCCTGGAGAGTGAGTGGCAATGAAATCGCCAAAGGTGCTTTCCACAGCTTCTTGAGAATTGAATATTATTCCTTGTGAGAAGTGGTCCAAAGCCTGGAAGAATTAGCAGTCAGTTGGTGCAAGGTCTGATGAATACAGTGGGTGACAAAGAGTTTCCAAATCCACCTTCTGTAGTTTGAGCAGCATTGCTTGTGCGACATGTGGTTGAGCATTGTCTTGCAAGAGGATTGGCCTGTCTCTATTGCCCAATCTCGGCTGCTTCATTGCAAGCATCCTCATCATTTCATCCAATCAGTTACAGTGGACATCTGCTATAATCGATTGAACTCTGTTGAATAGAAATGGTGACGGTGGGCACAGTCGTCTTGTTCAAGTTTTAGGGGGAATGTTTTCAACTTTTCTGCATTTAGTATGATGTTGGCTGTGTGTTTGTCATATATAGCTTTTATACTTTTGAGGTATGTTCCTTCTATGCCTAATTTGTTGAGGTTTTTTATCATGAAAGGGTGCAGGATTTCGTTGAATGCTTTTCTGCATCCATTGAAGTGATCATATGGTCTTTGTTTTTGCTTCTGTTTGTGTGGTGAATCTAATGTACTGATTTGTGCATGTTGGAGCATCTTTGTATCCCTGGGATGAAACTCACTTGATCATGGTTAATTATCTTTTTGAGGTGCTGTTGGATTCAATTTGCTAGTATTTTGTTGAGGATTTTTGCATCTGTGTACAGTAAGGGATGTTGGTCTTGGTTTTCTATTTGTTGTTGTGTCCTTTCCTGGCTTTGGCATCAAGGTGATACTGACTTCATAGAATGAGTTAGGTAAAATTCCCTCTTTCTCAATGTCATGGAATATTTCTGTAGGATGGATGCCAGTTCTTCTTTATAGGCTTGGTAGAATTCAGCCATTAATACATCTGGTCAGGAGCTTTTTTTTATTGGGAGTTTTTAAATTACTGCCTCAGTCTTGTTAATCATTATTGATCTGTCCGAGATTTCTATTTCTTCCTGATTTGGGCCTGAGATGTTGTGTTTTCCAGAAATTTATCTATTTCCTCTAGGTTTTCTAGCTGTATGCGTAAAGGTTTCTGTAGTATTCACACCCGATGTTTTGTATTTCTGTGGAATCCGTTGCAATGTCTCCTTTTTAATTTCTGATTGAGGTTCTTTGAGTCCCTTCTCTTCTGTTTTTGGTTAATTTAGCTAGTAGTCTATTGATTTTGTTTGTCTTCTCAAAGAACCAACGTTTTGTTTCATTGATCCTTTGTTTTTTTTTTTTTTTTTTTGCTTGTCTCCATTTCATTTAATTCTGGTCTGATTTTTGTTATTTATTTTCTTCTGCTGGCTTTGGGTTTGATTTGTTCTTCTTTTTCTAGTTCCTTGAGATGTGATATTAGTTTGTTAATTTGTGATCATTCTGTATTTTTGATGTAAGAATTTAAGGTTATGAACTTTCTTCGTACCACTGCTTTTTCTATATTACATAGATTTTGAAAGCTTATCATTCAGTTTGAAGTTTTTTTAAATTTCCATCTCAATTTCATCATTGACCCAAGGATGACTCAGCAGCAGATTGTTTACTTTCTATGACTTTATGTGTATTTGACAGTTTCTCTTGGAATTGATCTCCAGTTTTAATCCACTGTGGTCTGAGAAGATACATGGTATGATTTCTATTTTTCTGAATTTGCTGAAACTTCTTTGATGGCCTAAGATATGATCAGTCTTGGAAAATGTCCCATGTGATGATGAGAAGAATGTATATTTTATAGTTTTGGGGTAGAATATTCTTGAGATGTCTGATAGGTCCATTGGTTCTGTAGTCTTGTTTATTTATTTGTTTATTTGTTTGTTTACTTTCACAATGAGGCAAAATCTTTTTTTTTTTAATACAGAATATTATGGGGATACAAACATTTTGCTTACATGTAATGGATTTGCCTTGCCCAAGCCAGGGCTACAAGCATGTCCTTCACCCATACAGTGTGCTCCACTTCCATTACTTGTGGATTTACCCCCTACGCCCCACCTGACCAGCACCCAATGAATGTTACTACCATGTGAACACCTTATTGTTAATCAGTTAGTACCAATTTGATGGTGAGTACACGTGGTGCATGTTTTTCCATCCTTGTGATACCTCACTTCAAAGGATGGGCTCAATCTCTATCCAGGATGATATAAGAGGTGCTAGTTCACCATTGTTTTTTGTAGTTGAGTAGTATTCCATGGTATACATATACCACATTTTATTAATCCACTCATGTATTGATGGACATTTGGGTCGTTTCCACATCTTTGCAATTGTGAATTGTGCTGCTGTAAACATTTGAGTGCAGATGTCTTTATTATAGAATGTCTTTTTTTCCTTTGGATACATGCCTAGTAGTGGGATTGCTGGATCAAATGGTATTTCTATTTTTAGCTCTATGTGGTATCTCCAAAT